TGTGTGTGTGTGTGTGTGTTTGTGTGTGTGTGTGTGTGTGTGTGTGTGTGTGTGTGTGTGTGTGTGTGTGTGTGTGTGTGTGTGTGTGTGTATGTTCAGGAGTGATGAGCAATGCCCCCTGGCCCTCCCCAACCTCTCTCTATATAAAAATATATAAAAAAATATAAAAAAATAAAAATGTTCGGGCTCGGTCGGTTTTGGGCCACGTTCGGGCTCGATACCGAGCGTTCGGGTTCGGTCACCAAGCTCGAACGCGATGCTACACAGGTTAAACCTTATAAATAAATAAACTGCACCCGAATGATTATGGGGAATGACATAATGTGATATGTTTGGTTGTGGGTTCGATTGCTATATTGGTTATGGCAGATGCATGGATGGTTGCATTGTCATCGGCTCAAGTTGTAGGTGCTTTGTTACTGTCTACGCACGTGCCATTAGAGCAGCTTCGCCAGAACTTTGATTTGGACAGCTATGTTGATTTCAGACTCCACAGATATTATGGTTTCTCAAGCGAATACAATGCTGCTGTGATTGTCTTCGTTGTAATGAATCCAATATTTGGCCACTGCCGACGGCTTCTCTTGAGGGAGAGCATGAGGCAGCTGCAGCTTACAGTTCTGTGCTGCCCTGTGTTCGACAATGCTCCCACCATCCCACCACTGGTGGAGGAGCTTCATCCTGTGCCACCACGGGAGCAGGCCTTCCTGGCACCTGATTGCTCCTGGCTGGCCGCGACAACAACAGAGGAAGGTTGGAGGACATCCAACATTGGTGCAGCTGTGTCTGATGTCGTCGACGAACTCTACAGTGATGTTGCAGCGGGCATTGACGACGCTGCGTCTGATGTCATCCACAAACTCTGCAATGACGTTGCAGATGGAGAAGCTGCGTCCGATGTTCTTGAAGAAGTTTGCAGTGACGTTGCAGATGGAGGACCCGTGTACGATGTTGTTGACGAAGTCTGCAGTGACGTTGCAGATGGAGGACCCGTGTACAATGTTCTTGAAGAAGTCTGCAGTGACGTTGCAGACGGAGGTTCAAGGAGCTCAAGCACTAGTGCAGCAATATCGATCGTCCTTGAGGACGTCTGCAGTGATGCTGCTGAAGATCGTTCAGGCATGGTAGATGGGATCGTAGAGGAGGTCTGTAGAGAAGCGGACGAAAGTCGGCACACCGCCACTGTTGATGACGTCATGGAGGAGGTCTGTAGAGAAGTGGACGAGAGTCGGCGCAATCCCACTGTTGATGTGGTGATGGAGGAGGTTTGCAGAGAAGCGGAGGAAAGTGAGAGCATCCCCACTGTAGCTAGGGAGATTACAGAAACCTCAAGAAACAACTTAAATGACAGTGGGAACAATGATTTGATGACGAGTACACGAACCAATTTTGATGGGTATGATGGAGGTGAGGGTGACCAGCCTCATCATCTTCAGCGTCATCCTGATGATGGTGATGACACCATTGCCATTATGAGTGACAGTGAGGATAAAAATGCTGTCGTAGATGAAAAGGTTGGAGAACTCACAAGTGAGACAGCCGCACATGGAGGTGAGGGTGACCAGCCTCATCATCTTCAGCGTCATCCTGATGATGTCTCTTATACACATCTAGATGTGTATAAGAGACAGGAGGGTGACCAGCCTCATCATCTTCAGCGTCATCCTGATGATGGTGATGACACCATTGCCATTATGAGTGACAGTGAGGATAATTTCGTCCGCTTCTCTACAGACCTGTCTCTTATACACATCTAGATGTGTATAAGAGACAGGTCATCTTCAGCGTCATCCTGATGATGGCACCATCGCCATTATGAGTGACAGTGAGGGTAAAAATGCTGTCGTAGATGAAAAGGTTGGCGAACTCACAAGTGAGACAGCCACACATGGAGGCTGTCTCTTATACACATCTAGATGTGTATAAGAGACGTGGCAGTGAGGGTAATGCTGTCGTAGATGAAGTGGTTGGAGAACTCACAAGTGAGACAGCCACACATGGAGGTGAGGGTGACCAGCCTCATCATCTTCAGCGTCATCCTGATGACGGTGATGGCACCATTGACATTATGAGTGACAGTGAGGATAATGCTGTCGTAGATGAAGTGGTTGGACAGCTCACAAGTGAGACAGCCACACTAGATTTGTCTTTCTCTGATACCGAGCAGGATGTTGTAGATGAAGTGGTCCGGCAACTTGCAATTGAGGCCGGTGAAGCATGGGACCAGACAAGAACCGGTTTTTCCAACAATGAGCAGTTGGCCCATGGCAAGCCTCCCCGCTACTGGAGCATAGTTCCGCCACTAGGGGGAGGTGATCCCTTCCATCTAGAATTGGCAGGGTTGTCTTCCACCCAAGATTCCTTGGCCGGGTATCGCACACAAGCTGGCGGACGACCTGAAGGACAGCTGGAGGTCGGAAAGCAGCATGGAAAGGAAGGCAGTGTGGATATCACAAAGACACAATCAGCTGTGGTGGTCCCTGGCTTGAACAGTCCGATGATGGGCTTCGACCATGCGCTATACGTGACGACAGCAAGGATGTTGACGGCCCCCCGATCAACAGTTAACGCGCGAATTGTCATTGTGGGGTGTTCTGACACAGCGATCGCCTTACTGAAGCGCATGATCTTCTGCAGGGATGTCAGATTTACAGGCCTGCTGCTTCTGTCTCCCAATGGCTTGACCCAGCAGCTTGCGTCTTACAAGCTCATGGTGCAAGGACGAGGGGTATTCCGACCATCATCGCAGCTGTCCCGCTTGGGTGTTGACTGTCAGATCAGGATCCTTCCCACATTCATGTCGGGCATTGATCGTGAGGCCAAAATGCTGAAGATTGGCAATGACACTTATCTATCATACGATTCTCTCGTGCTAACTCCAGGTCTAGAAACTTCAGCGCGGCTAAAGTATTTCCGATCTCGCCATGGCTTAGGAAAGGTGGGGGGGATGATGGGATTAGAGGAACTTGCCATGAAGGCCTGGAAGTGGAAAAGGCTCATGCCCAACAAGCACGGCGACTTGCTGAAACCGGCTATAGTTTACGGAGCAACATTAGATGCTCTCTCTGCCATCCGTATCCTGCTGAGTCTGGGCATACCGGGCACAGATATCGTCTGGGTTGTCCCTCAATTAGAGGGCCCAGGAATGGACAAATGGGGCCCTCCCCGTCCACCATGGTTGCAGGACCTGGAGCTTGTCCGGCTTATCCTGGACGCGCTTCAACACGAAGAAGTGACTGCTAAGTGGGGCATACGACTTGCAGACATCACACATTCAGACACACTGCCACCTGGAAACTCGGAAGAATCTCGAGGAGCAGCAGTGGCTGGAACACAAGGAGGAGCCGCCGAAGGACCGTATGCTGGATTTGAACACTGGATAACAGCCGTATCGTTTGATCGCATCCAAGGGTCGGGGGCTGCTGCTGCAAGCGCCTCTTCTCAGAACCGCGACATCGTTGCATTGCGTGACAGAGCAGAAAAAGCGCCACTAAGCTCTGACGGCATCTCGTTCCAAAAACGGGTCAGCTTAAGCAAGTTTTCAAAGAAAAAATCCACCAAAGTGGTGATCCCCTGCAAGTGCTTTGTGCTATGTGATGGGAAAGATCTGGATCCTGAGATTTTTTTGCCACTTAACTCTTCGGGCCTGGTCTACGATGGTCGACTTGTTGTGAATGGGGGCTTCGCGACCAACGACCCGGATGTTTACGGCGGAGGAGCGGCATGTAAGTTCACAAGGAAGTATGGTATCTGTCCTCGGATGGAGTGTCACAACTCCTTAGAGGTTGGAGATAAACTTGGGAATAACCTAATCCAAACCTTATCTAGATCATTGACAATCAGGTGCCAATCATTCTCAGTCCTTGGTCCATTCCATGGGCCCGTGAGTACTGTTCCGGGAATAGGAATGGTTCAGGAAGAGGAAACAGTTGGGGAATTAGAGCGACCTCAAGATCGTGATCGTGATCGTGATCGTGATTGGGATCGGGATCGGGATCGGGATCAGGATCAGCTGCAGCAAGAAGATTCTCAGCCGTCAGACTCAGTTCCTCCGGATGGTGAGGAGGGGGAGAAGATGATAACAGCTGCCACGACAAGAATGGATAAAAAGTGGCACGGGAAATCCAATAATCCCCACACGACCTTTGGCCTTGTTTCATCTAGCAAGGAGCGAAGGAACAGCGATGCGACTGCCATGCCAAAGAGCGGAAAACCGCCTCTTCCGCGACTGAGCTCTCCTAAATCCATGGTCGCTAAACTCCCCGGGGGACTGCAGTTTGTACACGTGGCAACTCCACATTGGTATGCGTTTCCTGAGGTGCAGGAAATGTCGGCCAAACGCAAGAGGATTATCAGCCGGAACGTGGGAGGATTGGGTGGAGAGGTCTTTGTCCTTGAGATGGACCCAGACGACATCATTGTACGTTGGGTGTATTGCGGAAGGCGAAAGGTAGATGCCTGGAAGATAGAGCGTATAGTTGGCCGACCAGTTTGGCAATTCGGTGAACTCAAGTCTAGGTACACACATGGCCACCTTTCCCCCACCCTTTTCTCTTCGTTTTTCTTTCCGTGTTCTTTGTTCTTTTTCTCCTATTTTTCATCAAGCCTAGGGAATGCAAGGGCCTCAGGTCATTTTGTGAGGCACGCAAATTGCAATCAGGTGTTCATTGGTTCAAGTCCCCTTGGGCCCATGTACACCCTGGTGTAGGCAAGCTTTGTGCCTGACCCGCTTGAGATGAGCCACCAGCGAGCAGTAGCATGACCTTAGGCAACATGTGGACACTTAGGGGCATGTCCCACTGCTGCTATATTCATGCTAGGAGAACACTAACCTGACCACTATTATGTCTAGGTCTATGCTCTCCAAGCATGAACATACTACCAGTGCCAGGGGTCTGATGCTTGGATTCCACTAATCCACTAACATGCTGGCTGACTGGAAACGAAAACTATTTTTTTATGTAAAAGGGAAAAAAATCAAAAAAACAAATGCATGCTGGGTGAAGTGGCAGGTGATCAGTGGAATTCGAAAACACATTCCTAGTACGCATCATCATCATCGTCATCATCATCATCATCATCATCATCCATGGTTGTCATAGCGTCATCAGCATTCATTGGCTGCACACCAACGTAGTGCTTCACTGCCTCCTACTCTCCCGCCTTTTCCCTCTATCTCGTCTTGATGTTGAATATTGAATGTACCTCCCCTTCTTTCCCGTTGTGATTGAATCTGCTCTGATGCAGTTCCGCCGTTTCTCTCTCTCTTCTTTCCCTGCATCCTTTGCCACACTTGCCTGTTCCCCGTTGGTGTGCCCAAAAAGGCAAGTTGCTCTTCTCCCCTTTCGCTCTTCCACTCCTCTAAAAGAAAAGGCCAAGAGGAAGGTCTTCTTCTTCTTCTCTCTCTCTCTCTCTCTCTCTCTCTCTCTCTCTCTCTCTCTCTCTCTCTCTCTCTCTCTCTCTCTCTCTCTCTCTCTCCATTTCTCTCTCTCTCTGTCTCTCTATGTGCTAGATGCTGATGCTTATGTCCCTATCTTTCCTTTGATGGCATTCATCACAGCTGCATTC